ATGAAGATTGGGAAGAATTGGATGAAAAAGCCTTATCAGTAATCCAACTTTGTTTATCCAAAGAAGTTCTGCGAGAGGTTATCAAGGAGGATACAGCTGTAGGTTTATGGCTTAAATTGGAGTCATTGTATATGACGAAGAGTCTTGCCAACAAGATTTGTCTCAAGGAGCACCTTTATACCATTAAGATGGTCGAAGGTACACCCATTCAAACTCACCTTGATGAGTTTAATTCCATCATAGTTGATTTGGAAAATTTGGATGTTGAAATCAGTGATGAAGATAAAGCTGTTTTGTTAGGTTGCTCACTCCCCCGGTCATACCGTAACTTCCGCTAACTTTAAGTTTATTTGTACACGGTGGCTAATGAGACCCTAACCTTTGATTTGATGTTCAAACAACAATCTCTTGTCAAACCAAGAAAAATATGACTATGAGAATAATAAGAAAAATATGACTATGAGAATAATTCAAAGGATGAAGCTGAAGGGTTAATTGTTAAGGGGAGAACTATGGATCATGGTAGTAGCAGTAGAAGTAAATCTAGATCAAAGTCTAGAGGCCGAGATAATAAGAAATTTTGTCGCTATTGCAAGAAAAAGGGACCTGCAATTTCAGAATGCTTTAAGTTGAAAAATAAGCAGCAAAAGGGCGAAAATAATAATCAGAAGAATTCAGAAAATTCAGCTGAAGCAAGTATTGCTCAAAAAGAGTCTGAAGGTGAAGTTTTATCTGTTACTGATTTTGGAACTAGATCTAAAATGGAGTAGATTCTAGATTCTGCTTGTTCCTATCACATGTGTCCCTATAAAGATTGGTTTACCACTTATGAGTCTGTTGATTGTGGTATTGTCTTAATGGGGAATAATGCTCAGTGTAAAGTTGTTGGAAAAGGAACAATTAGAATTAAAATGCATGGTGGCATGATTAGAACTTAACCGGTGTTAGACATGTTCCCGACTTGAAACGGAACCTTATCTTCTCTTGGCACTTGGAGTCCCACTTGGGCTGTTAAATATGCAGCTGAAGGTGGAGTTTCTAAAGGGTCTTCTAAAAGGTGCTCTTTATTTTAATGAAAAGCTAACAGATCTGGAGTTTGTTACGTGTTACAAGGCATCTACTGATTATAAGTTCTTGTGACTGATATCATTATTTTATGTCAGATTTCAGACGTACCAAAAAATTATTGCATTATGCGACTTGGCAAAATTATGGCATATGCGACTTGGCCATATGAGTGAAAAAGGAATGACCATCCTGAGCAAGAGAGGTCTTTTGTGTGGTCAGAATACCGGTAGGTTGGAGTTCTGTGAACATTGCATTCTCGGTAAGCAGAAAAGATTAACTTTCGGTATTGGAATTCATAGAACTAAAGTTACTCTTGACTATATTCATTCAGATCTTTGGGGACCCTCACGTGTTCCTTTAAAAGGAGGGCATCATTACACGCTAACCATTATTGATGATTTTTCTTGTAAAGTCTGGGCTTATTTTTTAAAGCACAAAGATGAAGTTTTTTCCACTTTTAAGAAGTGGAAGATTTTGATGGAAAACCAGACAGGGAAGAAGGTCAAGCGACTCAGGACCGATAATGGTTTAGAATTTTGTGGAGGTGATTTCAATGCGTTCTGCGAAAATGAAGGAATTATGAGACACCGCACGGTTGCCGGTACGCCTCAACAAAATGGAGTTGCAGAACGGATGAACATGACATTGATGGAGAGAGTTCGTTGCATGCTCTCTAATGTTGCCTTGCCTAAAGAATTTTGGGCCGAAGCTGCATCTACCGCATGTTATTTGGTGAATCGTTCCCCACACACATCACTCGACTTCAAGACTTCAAGATTCCAGAGGAATCTTGGACAGGGTTAAATCCTGTTGATATATTTCGAATTTTGAAATTATTTTGGATTGTCCTGCATATGCACATGTTAAATCAAGGAACAATTAGACACCTAGAGCTCGAAAAATGCATATTTTATTGGTTTATGCATTTGGTGTGAAAGGGCTATCGCTTGTGGTGTCGCTGAACTAAGAAAGTAATTATCAGTAGGGATGTTAACCCTTTCAATGAAACAATCTCTAATTCTCCCTGGAAGAAACTGTCGGTTTCTTCTTCTGTCGTGACACAGCGTGTTTCAAAGAAAACCGAAGAGAAAGGTTGGAGCTTGAGGTTTGAAATACCCAACTCCTAGCAAGGAGGAAATATTTCCTTCATTCTCCGATCACATCAGGAGCCGTTCCTGATTCCTCCCACTGAACCAGATCGTCGATGAAGGACTATTCTATTGCCAGAGATAGACCCAGGAGAAGAAATCAAATGGCCTGAAAAGATATAATGAAGGGAATTTTAGTTGCTTATGCTCTTGCAGTTGCAGGAGGATACAGCTGAAGGGGAGAACCTCACACATTACTCTGAAGCAAATCTCATTGTCCTACATTCTTCTGAGTGGCAAGTTGCGACTTTAGCAAGAAGAAAATTGAATCTCGAATCTCTGCACAAGAATGATACTTGGCAATTGGTGAAATTGCCAAAAGGCCAAAGAATTGTAGGCTGTAAATGGGTCTATAAGAAGAAAGAAGGCAATCCCGGAGTTAGAAGATGCAAGATATAAAGCATGTTTAGTTGCTAAAGGCTACACTCAAAAACATGGTGTAGACTTTAATAAAGTGTTTTCTCTTGTTGTTCGTCACACTTCTATACGTGTACTTCTTGCCCTTGTTGCCTTGCAGGATCTTGAATTAGAACAACTTGATGTCAAGACTGCTTTCTTGCATGGAGAGCTCGAGGAGCATCGAGGAGCAGATTTATATGCAACAACCAGAAGGATTTGTTGTTCCTGAAAAAGAAGACTACGTTTGTCACTTGAAGAATTCTCTTTATGGACTAAAACAATCTCCGAGACAATGGTACAAAAGGTTTGATTCCTTTATGGTTGAGCATGGGTATTATCGTAGTCAGTATGATAATTATGTTTATCACAAGAAGTTTTCAGATGGATCTTTTGTCTACTTATTGTTATTTGTTGATGACATGCTAATTGCTGCTCGTGATAAGTCACTAATCAAAGAATTGAAAGATCAGTTGAGCAGTGAATTTGAGATGAAAGATCTTGGTGCTGCAAAGAAAATTCTTGGTATGGAGATTCATAGAGATCGATCAGCTGGAAAATTGTATTTACATTGTATATTATCTCAAAAGAAATTTACATTGAGAAAGTTCTTTGAGAGATTCAAACAGGAATAACTCAAAACCTGTGAGTACTCCTCTTGCAGCTCATCTTTAAATTATCACATTTATGATTTTTGCCCTCAGTTCAATGAAGAGAAAGAGCAATTGTCACATGTGCCCTATTTCTAGTGCAGCTGGTAGTCTTATGTTATTGCTATGGTATGCACTAGACCTGATCTTGCACAGGCAGTCAGTGTTGTGAGCAGGTACATGGATAATCCACGTAAAAACATTGGCAAGCAGTTAATATTGGAATATTCGGCTTATTTGAAAGGTTCTGTGTGATACTGGTTGTTTTTGATAGGAATAAGGTGACACCGAATATTGTTTGTTGGATAGTTTGGCACTCTGGATATGTTGACTCTGATTATGCAGGTGATCTTGATAAGAGAAGGTCTTTGTCAGGTTATGTATTTACTTTATGCAATTCTGCCATTAGCTGGAAAGCTAGCCTCTAGTCCATTGTGGCACTGTCAACTACGGAGGCAGAATATATTGCAATCACTGAAGGAGTCAAAGAAGCAATCTGGTTAAGAGGTTTGGTTACTGATCTTAGTTTAACCCAAGATGTTATTACTGTTTTGTGATAGTCAAAGTGCTATCCATTTAAATAAAAATCAGATGTATCATGAAAGGACCAAGCACATTGATGTGAGGCAGTATTTTATTCGGGATGTTGTGGCAGATGGGAAAATCATCGTGAACAAAATTGCTACAACTCATAATCCTGCGGATATGCTCACGAAACCAGTTCCAAATCTCAAGTTCAAGCATTGCTTGGACTTGATTGACTTTGATCGATTTGGTTCACCAATTCTAAAGCCCTTCGGGGCATGGCGAGAAAGGAATATGCACATCATTTTAAGGATATTCATCTTTAGAATTTAAAGTCAAGGTGGAGATTGTTAAAATTTGCCTTATAATTCTAAGTATCACACAAACTAGTCCTTTTAGTGCTCATGTTTTTCATGGTTTATACTAGTCTTTTGGTGGCTAAGAAAATTCAATGTTGGTGAGCTAACTTGGACTAGGATGGCACATCTTCAACAATGGAAGGAAGACTCGAAGTTTATTCACATGGTGATACACCTCTATATAAGGCAATCTTGCTTGAAGCAAATAAATTAAAATCTAACCAAGTGAAATTCATCCAAGAGAGAAATCCTCCAAGAGCATTTCTCTAAACTATCCACTCTCTTCATATACCACCTTTTCGTATATATACACACTCTTACCATATTCATTGAGTGGTAGTGAGGTGTTATCTTGAGTGTAATTTTTGTGTGGGTGTAAAATCATTTGTATCTCCATATTTTTCATAGTGCATTACTCCTCTCTCGCCCCGTGGTTTTTTTCCTCTATATTGAAGGATTTCCACGTAAATCTTGTGTCTCTTCCATTTATTATTTTACTTCTCATTTTATCATCAATTACCGAAACTAAATATTTATCCATTACCACCCTAAATTCCGCAACAATAACAATTAAATGGGAAAAACAAATATAAATTTTAAACAATTAATTAACAACGTAAAAAAAAAAGGTATTTTACAATGACAAGTAGTAATCAAATTCAACGAATTCTCTAAATGCACGCTCACACGTTAAGCGATTAACATTCAACCAAGAAAACGCGGTTTCTATAAATACCACTGTTCCATATAGAAGTTCCTGCTGTAACGTCACAGTGAAGTTAAAATCACTTTAAATCATTTTTAGTAGTGGCAAGTGTCTTAATTACAAAATCACTTGATCTAGCAAAAGCATGAAAGAGAAAGCCGACTAAAAGATAGGCATAGAAATAAAAATTTCCCCTTCATATGAAGTACAAAACTACAAACATATTCGACGTTTAATTACAAAGTTAAATAAACACCTATATTCGTAAGAAAAATACGACAAAATTAAGAACTACCCAGAAAATTCAAGACTTAAACCTACCCATTAGTCTTATAAATACATATATATTGTTAATTTATCACGCCTTAGACCTTTTTTCCTTGTAAGACATATAATTAGTAACAGCTTTAGACCCTTCAGCAATAGCATGTCTTCCAAGTTCTCCAGGCAAAACCAATTTAACTGCATCCTGAATTTCCCTGGACGACAGTGTCGTTCGGTGGATATAATCTGAAAGCTTTGCTGCTTCATAAACAATTCTTTCAAACATGTCCTTCATTAAATTGTTTATAATACTCATTGCCATTGATGATATCTTCAGCTCAGGATGCACTTGCTTTAGTACTTTAAACACATACCTTTTATAACCCTCTCTTTCTCTCCCGACTCCTCTTCCTTTCCTCTTCTTTTTCCTTTCTTGTCCTTTCTCTTGTTGGGTTTTTTCTTTTTCTTCTTTCTTGATCGGCCTTTCTTGTTCTTGAACATTTTCTTCACCAGTAGTGTCTTTGGTGGATAAATCTTCTTGTTCTTGTAAATTTTCTTTAGAAGCAGAGCCTTTCTTTGAAAAATCTTCTTGATCTCTTAAGGAAATGTCTTCTTCAGAAATTTCGATGGCTTCTTCTTCATTTTCTTTATCATCTCGTTCATGCACACCTTCTTCAACAGGAATGGTTCTGATAAAAGGTTCTTTATTAGCAGCAATTTCTTCAGTTTCTTGACTTTGATATTCTTGAGTTGATTCTTGAGGGTCTCCTTCAATAACAGAGACTTCCACAGTTTCTTTGATAATTCTTCTTGTAGACCTCAACACTGTGCCTATTACCTTCTTCTTCTTCTTACCTGAACGCTTTGGAGCCATTTTCCTAATTTCTCTCTATAAAATCATTTTTGAAGCTCTTTGTTCATAAAAAGGTTTTTTATATATAGAGAGAGAAGTCGGCGGAGGTGGACAAGTGGAGAGACAGGTGTCTATCTGCTTTCAGATTTAATGCCTACGTGGGGTAAAATGGAGTAATAATTTAAAGATTTATACTGTGGCTGAAATTTCTAGTGGGAACTTTAATCGTTTAAAGCACCAAAATGCACCTTCTATAACGTTCTAATCCTCAAGAGAGAAACTAAACTAATTTTCTTTTTTTTATTACCAAAAAAACTAATTTTCTTTTTTAATATATAGCATAAAAATATACATAAGGCGGAATATTGCAGAATATTATTTTATAGTTTTACATACTTTTACAATTTTACATATTAATTCTTTATTGATTTTATCTCCATTTTGACTTTTTAAAATACAATATATTCAATTGCAATTAAAGAAGAAATTTTAAAAAAAATCTTCATTAATTTATTAAAAATTAAGTATATAAAATTTTAAATATCTTCGGATATAAAATTGTATTACACTTGACATATTAAATATCTTCGGATTATAAAAATTGTTATTACACTTGACATATTTATAAATATATATATATATAATATATATATATATATATATAATATATATTTGATATTGAAGATATATATGATATTGAAGTATGTGTAATTAAAATAATTAAAAAATTATTTCTTTATTTATTATTACATGACTTTGTCAATACATTTAAATCGCCTATTAAATTGGCAGATATCAATTTTTGACTTGGTTATTTGCTCTAGTAAGTTGCCAGAGTCTGCATCTCGAATCTCCGTAATCTTTTTAGCAACAAGGTGATCAAAAAAGAAAAAAATTATCATTTGTCTGGGAAACTTTTGCGGGTCCCAATGTCTCGAATTGCAAAGGACAAAGGTATCAAAACCATGTCAGTGCATTGCATTTTATTTTGGAAAGGGTGGATTAATAGGCGGAGCCACTATTAGGATATCTTCAGCAAAATATGAAAATAACTTTCGGCAAAATTAATTAATTTAATAGCTATTAACTGTTTTAGTAGTATTTAATTATTAACTGATTTAATTAATAGATTTTCATATTAAATGTTATGGGTCTATTCCGTAAAATTAGTTATTTTGATAGTTTTAGTTGTTTTAGTTAGTAGATTTTCATGTTACACATTACACGTTACGAGTATGTTCAGCAAAATTAGTTGTTTGAATAACATTTAGTTGTTAGCTGTTTGATATCTTTTCATGAAATACTAAAATGCTAAACCTTATATCAGTTAAATTGTCACAAAATGCTACCATAACATTTAAAAGTTAGTTCAAACGCTAGAATAATTTTTAAGTAGCATTTAATATTTAACTATTTTGATAGTTGTTAGCTGTTTTACCATAACATTTAAAAGTTAGTTCAAACGCTAGAATAATTTTTAAGTAGCATTTAATATTTAACTATTTTGATAGTTGTTAGCTGTTTTAGTTAGTAGATTTTCATGTTACACATTACACGTTATGAGTATGTTCAGCAAAATTAGTTGTTTGAGTAACGTTTAGTTGTTAGCTGTTTAATATCTTTTCATGAAACACTAAAATGTTAAACCTTATATGAGTTAAACTTTCACAAAACGCTACCATAACATCTAAAAGTTAGTTCAAATGCTAGAATAACTTTTAAGTAGCATTTAATATTTAGTCTAAAAACTAATCTAAATGCTATATTAACGAACAACTTAATTTTTAAGTAGCGTTTAGCGTTTTGACAAGTCAAAATGCTAAAAATTACTTAAAAGGTTGTTGCCGAACACAACCTACATGGATTAATATAAAATTAAGTTTTTATAAAACGTTGTCTTAACGTCTAAAAATTAGTTCAAACTCCATAATGTTAACTTATCTAAAAATTTATAAAATGTTATTTTAACCTCTAAAAGTTAGTTATAAAATGTCATCTTAACCTCTAAAAGTTAGTTCAAATTCTATAATATTAAGTCTCTAAAAATTAGTTCAAACTCTATAATGTTATCATACACTATAAGAAATACTCCCTCTTTTATTATAAAAAACTCCCTCTTTTTCAAAATATAACCATTTTGAATGATTATTTGGTCCTAAAATGTAAGCCATTTTGAATATTTTAAAGAGTAATAAATGATATATTTTTAATAATACCTTATTTAGTGAATTTAAGAATAATTTAGTTAATTTACTATTCATTTAGTTATAATTTGGAAGAATTATTTGTTTCTTTAGTCCTTGTATAAAAACTTTAAATGAATTTTTATAACGAATTATATTTTGGAAGAATTAATTATTTCTTTAGTCCTTATATAAAAACTTTAAACGAGTTTTTATAACGAGTTATATTTTGAGACAGAGAGAGTTAAAAGGCAGAAACATTTAATGTTTGCAACTTGTTTTACCTATCACAACTTTAATCTGAAAAATAAGAGGATAAAAATAAAAGATACAAGAGAAAAAAAAAATTAGGTGAAAGAGACATGAGAAAAATCAAAGAGATTAGGGATAAGAAATGAAGACAGGGAGAGAAAAAAAAATAGAAAGAGTAAATACGCATTTGAGTTAGTTATATATATATATATATATTTTTTTTTTAATGAAAGTGATCCTTTTATTTATATCTCAAATATGAAGTCCCCATGGCCTCCAATAATACAATACCTTTAATTAAATGAGGCAAAGAATTAAAAAAGGTAAAAGAAAGAGAAAAATGATGTGGCCTTTGATGAGTGACCAAAAGTTGTGCCGCTTGATTTCCTTCACGATATATGTGATGAATGGAAGAGGAGTGGATATGCAATAGGTCAACAACACGTAGTAAAATCGAAGGACCTTCTCTAGTCCATTGTCAATAGGTCAACAACACGTAGTAAAATCGAAGGACCTTCTCTAGTCCATTGTGCCCGATTAACGCGAGCAACTAGATCTTGACAATTCATTTCCACCTGGATAGGATAAAAACATTTATCAATGTGCCAGGAGAGCCCCCAAATCAATGCTTCAAGCTCTGCATCATAAGCTGTCCCGGCAGCAATCGTAAAACAAGTGGCAGCAACAAAGTTACCATGGTTGTTTTAGAGGATAGCACCCCTCATTGCTGAAAATTTGTTGAAAGATGCAGCAATATTCAGTTTATAACAATCTTGCCTAAGCCGAATCCAAGTAATAATCATTGGCTTTAATTTTTGTTTGTCAAAAGAAGCCGAAATGAAGTGACAATCAATTTTTGCTGACCAAGTTGTTGCAAATCTTTTACCAGAATTGACAATGCTCCAGTTTAATAACAGCCTACTGATATCTTGAATAAGGAGGTCTGGAAAGCAAACTTCATTACCCCAATTACACTTACAATACAAACAGCCTACTGATATCTTGAATAAGGAGGTCTGGAAAGCAAACTTCATTACCCCAATTACACTTACAATACATTTTCCACACAGACCATACAATTATAGTTATATTGATTCACATATTATTTACAAGAGTATTACCCTTATTTATAGAAATATGTCTTAGGAGTATACTAAAAAAAAAGTAAATATTTTAAAATATTTAAAATACTATATCAAACTATACAAAATTCTAGTGTTCTCTAAGTATATACAATATTTATAGATGTGGATTTCAAAGACATCTCTTCTTGAGACATTTCAATGGCTTCTTCTTCTTTTTCTTCATCTTCTTCTTCATGCACACCTTCTTCAACAGGAATGGTTCTAATAAAAGGTTCTTTATCAGCAGCAATTTCCTCAGTTTCTTGACTTCGATATTCTTGAGTTGACTCTTGAATGTCTAATTCAATAACAGAAACTTTCACAGTTTCTTTGATAATTGTTCTTGTACACCTCAACACAGCGCCTATTACCTCCTCCTCCTTACCTGAACGTTTTAGAGCCATTTTCCTAATTTCCCTCGGTAAAATCAATTTTGAAGCTACTTACTTGTACAAAACTTATATATATATATATATACTGAGAGAGAGAAGTTGGTGGAGGTGGACAAGTTGGGAGACCAGGTGTCAATTTGCTTTCAGATTTAATGGCTACGTGGGGTAAAATTTAGTAATAATTTAAAGATTTATACTGTGGCTGAAATTTCTAGTGGGACTTCTCATCGTTTAAAGCACCTCAATGTACCTTCTATAACGTTCTAATCCACAAGAGAGAAACTAAACTAATTTGCTTTTTAATGTATTAGCATAAAAAATATATACCAGAAGGGAGCTGACTGGAAGTGACGCGGAACCCTATGGAAATAAATTCCATGAACTCTATAACAAGTTTTGGAAGAGATCAAAGATCAAACTAAACCCCCCTCTATGGCAACCAAAGCTTAAAGAAGCAAGAACACCAATAATAGAGTAAAAGAATAAGATAAACGCCACAATAGAATTGATAAATTTACCTTGATTCTTGATGCAATTAGAAGAATGCAATCTCACACCCTCTAAAAACATGAACACGCCAAAGGCATAAAAGGAATTCTCTCTTGATTAATTGATTGAATAATTGTTGACTGAATTACAATATAACAAGCTATTTATACTAAATCTATGAGGTCCAGATCCTTAAAGGATTTAGAGTTAGCTAAGGAGTAGGATTTAGCAAATCAATCTAAGAGGTCCAGATCCTTAAAGGATATAGAGTTAGCTAAGGAGTAGGATTTAGCAAATCTAAACCAACTAAGGATATGACTAGCAAATCTAAACAACTTAAGGATTTGGTTAACTAATCCAAATAATCAACTAAAGCATTAGCTAAATCGTAATAAATCTAGGATTAAGGAATAATTAATCCAAACCAACTAAGGATAAGGCAGTAATTACATCCAAAACCAACTAAGGATACAGGAATAATTATCTAAACCAAACTAAGGATAAGGGACTAACTAATCCAAACAATTAAGGATAAGTGAATAATTTAATCCCAAACCAACTAAGGATAAAAATTAAAAGGGTGGCCCAATTTATTGGTGGCCCAACCCATT